GGGCTGTGTACTCTTCCGCGCATATGTGCTGGGATGTGCTGGGGCCCGTCCCTCGTGCTTCCCCCTTGCTTCTTCCCAACCCTCCGTGCCCCCCCCCTTCTCTGCGTATCCCGATCCACCGTGCCCCCTCCCCTCTCCCCGTCCCGTGGCCCTTTTGCCCGTCCCCCGATCGTGCCCCCCTTGCTTCTTCCGACCGAGCGTGCCCCCCCCCACCTCCCCGTCCTCCGTGCCCCCCCCTGCTTATTCCGACCGAGCGTGCCCGCACCCCGGGCCCCCTCCTCTAACCGTTCTGCGGCCCCCCTTGCCGGTCCCCAGAGCCCCCCCCCTCCTTGGCTTATTCCGACCGACCGTGCCACCGCCCCCCCGTCCTCCGTGCCCCTCCCCTCCCCTGGCTTATTCTGGCCGACCGTGCCTCCTCCCCTCTCCTCGTCCCGCGCCCCCCAGGCTTATTCCGACCAGCCGTGCCCTTCGCTCCCCGTCTTCCGCCCCCCCCCCCCCCTCCCCCCTCCCCCCCCCGCCCCCGCCTTCCTTATTCCAGCAGCCGACTGTGCCCCGTCCCCTCTCCCCGTCCCGTGCCCACCCTTGCTAATTCTGACCGACCGCGTTTCCCCCGGGACCTCCTCCTCTAACCGTCCCGCGGCTCCCCTGCCTGTCCCCAGAGCCCCTCCCCGTGGCTTATTCTTTACTCCGACCGACCGTGCCCCGCCCCCCCGTCCTCCGTGCCCCTCCCCTGGCTTATTCCGGCCGACCGTGCCTCCTCCCCTCTCCTCGTCCCGCGCCACCCCCTTTCCTATTCCGACCGACCGTGTCCTCCTCCGCTCCCTGTCCTCCGCCCCCCCTCCCCTCCCGTTTCCCCCCCTCCACTCGCCCCCCCTTCCCTATTCCGACCGACCGTGTCCCCTTCCCTCTCCCCGTCCCGTGCCCCCCGCCCGACTTTTTCCGACCGACCGTGCCCCTTCCCCCCGTCCTCGGTGCCCCCCCTGGCATATCTCGACCGACCGTGCCCCCGCCCCTCTCCCCGTCCAATGCCCCCCCGACCGTACCCTCTTCCCCTCCTTGTTCTCTGGCCCCCCTCCCCTTCGCAGTTCCCCCTCTCCCTCGCCCCCCCTTTGGCTTATTCCGACCGACCGCGCCCCGCCCGCCCCGTCCTCGGAGCCCCCCGCGGCTTATTCCCACCGACCGTGTCCCTTCCTTTTTCCCCGTCCCGTGCTCCTCCCCCGTGGCTTGTTCCGACCGACCGTACCCTCCTCCCCTCCTTGTCCTCCGGCCCCTCTCCCCCCCGCACCCTTTTCATAATACCGACCGACCGTGCCCCCGCTCCCCGTCCTCGGACCCCCCCCCCTTAGCTTATTCCGACCGACCGTGTCCCGTCCCCCCTGTCCTCCCGGACCTTCCCCTGACTTATTCCGACCGGCCGTGCCCCTTCCCTTTTCCCCGTCCCGTGCCCCCCCCGGCTTATTCCGACCGACCGTGCCCTCCTCCCCCCCCGTCGTCGGTGCTACCCCCTAGCTTATTCCGACCGGCCGTGCCCCCTCCCCTCTTCCCGCCCCGTGCCCCCCCCATGGTTTATTCCGACCGACCGTGCCGTGCTCCCTTCCTTTTCTTCCGCCCCGCTCCCCTCCTCCTTCCCCCCCCTCCCTCGCCCCCCCCCTGCCTTATTCCGACCGACCGTGTCCCCTCCCCTGTCCCCATCCCGTGCCCCCCCCCCGGCTTATTCCGACCGACCGTGCCCTCCTCCCCGTCTTCCGCCTCCCCCTCCCCCCCGCCTTCCCCCCATCCCCCCCGGCCCCCCAAAGGGTTCCAAATCAGTCCAAGAGAGCCCCAAAACTGCCAAGGAGGGCCCCGTAACGACCTGCTGCATCCGTGATTATATGATCCTTGGCACGCTTGGCCTTTGTTTGTAAGGACAAGCAATGGGGAGAGGAGGAGGAGGAGGAGGGCCAGTGTAAACCCAAGACACATCAACGATCTTGCAATAAACCCTCTTTCCAAGTGCCCTCTTCATGGGCCCCAACACGGATTCGTCATTGAGAAAAGTGCTCCATTGGAAGACAACCGTTCCAAAATTTGGAATTGTACCAGAACGTAATGCTTGGGATATCAACGCTGCGATTCTGAACCGTGCCAGAACGCCATTCTTGGGACTTCAACACCGCAAATCCACGTGATGTCTGCGCCCTGACATTCCGACATCGTGCCAATCCAGTTCTGGGACGTTGACCACGGGAATCCTTGAAGCTGCTACAAACTCTTCAGGCGAATGTGCGAGGCGCTCAGGCGACAGCCACATTTTGATACGGAACCGCCCTCCATCCTTGAAGCTCTTGCAAATGTTCCATACGAATGTGCGCGGCGCTGGGGCGAGAGGTACATGTTGAAAAGGACCTCCCCCCATCCGCGAAACTCATGCACTTGTTTAGGACGAATGTGCGTGGCGCTAAGGCGAGAGCCACATTTTTAAGCGGGCCGCCTTCCATCCGCCAATTGTTTAAATTAGCTTGGCGAAGTACCCCAACCATATGCTGTTGTGAATACCGAAGATTTGGGTATTGTCTTTGGAGTAGCCCCCTTCTAGGGCCACGAAACGCTGTACCGGACAGGGGAGTTGCATGCGGGCTGCGACTCTGGCACATTCGGTGGAGCTCCCTAGGGGGCCACGAAACGTTGTACTCGGTGTGGAAGACGCATGCGGGCTGCGCCACTGGGGCGTCTGGTGGAGCTCCCTATGGGGTCACGAAGCGCTGTACTGGGTGTGCGAGACGCATGCGGGCTGCGCCACTGGGACCCTTGGTGGAGCCCCATTTGGGGCCACCAAACGTTGTACTGTGTGTGTGGGGGAGACGCATGCGGGCTGCGACGCTGGGATCTTCGATGGAGCTTCTTATAGGGCCACGGCGCGCTGTAGTGGGTGGGGAAGGCGCATACGGACTGCGCCCCTGGGACCGCCGGTGGAGCTCCCTACGGGGCCACGACACGTTGTACTCGGTGTGGGAGACGCATGCGGGCTGTGCCACTGGGGCTTTCGGTGGAGCTCCATATGGGCCCACGGAACAATGTACTGGGTGTGTGAGACGCATGCGGGCTGCGCGACTGGGACCTTTGGTGAAACTCCCTATGGGGCAGCGACATATTGTATTGGGTGTGGGAGACGCATGCGAGCTGCGCCACTGGGATCTTCGGTGGAACTCCCTATGGGGCCAGGAAGCGCTGTACTGGGTGGTGAAGACGCATGTGGGCTGCGCCACTGGGACCTTCGGTGGAGCTCCTTGATAGGGCCACGAAACGTTGTACTGGGTGGGGGGCAACCCATGCGGACTGCGCCGCTCTTCGGTGGAGCTCCCCATGGGGCCACTAAACGCTTTACTGGGTGTGGGAGCCACGAAACGTTGTACTGGGTGTGGGGGACGCATGCGGGCTGCGCTACTGGGACCTATGGGGCCAGCCACGAAGCGCTGTACTTGGTGGGGGAGACGTATGCGGGCTGCGCCACTGGGACCTTCGGTGGTGCTCCATATGGGTCCACGGAACAATGTACTCGTGTGTGAGACGCATGCGGGCTGCGACACTGGAACGTTCGGTGGAGTTCCCTATGGATCCACGAAGCGCTGTACTGGATGTGGTAGACGCATGCGGTTTGCGCCACTGGGACCTTCGGTGGGGCTCCTTTATTGGGCCACGAAGCGTTGTACTCGGTGTGGGAGACGCATGAAGCGTGTGAGGAGGGTGACGGGAGGAGGGAGGATGGGGCAGGAGGCAAGCTAGGTGCGCTCGCGTCATATCTGACGTTCTACCCCTCCCTCCCATCCCTTACCATGGCGTAGATCTCCGCTCTATTCGCACAGTCGGATGTCGAGCAGGGCATCATAGAGCACGGCATGGCATGGCGTAGAAGAGCACGGCAGAGCGTAACATGTCATAACATGCTTAGTGAAGGCAGAGCGTAGAAGGCACGTCGAAGAGCAGGGCAGAGCGTAGAAGGCACGGCAGAGCCATGGCGTGGCATTGCGTAGTGAAGCATTGCATCACAAAGCACTGCAACACAAAGCGTGGCATCGCACAGGGGCGCCGAGCAGAACACCGCACAGCATGTCATGGCAGGGCGCCGAGTTCCTTGGAGGCTAAGTGGATCGTCTTCGAAGGGTCTGGGCCGGTCTGGAGTCGCGGCTCCGTGTTCAGCTCCTTGGGCTCCCCGGAAAGCTCTTCACAAGGCGGTGCTGATGTAGAGCACCCGCAGCTTGCAACATCGCCTTCTGACAGCAAAAACGGGTCTCCCGCTCGATACTTCCTCCAAGCGACACCGCCCCGAAGTGCGGGGGGCCTTCTGCGGCCCAAAACTCAACGAATCGACACTGGATTTGTAATCACTTTCGATGTTTTTTTCCTGGTGGTCATTTTCTAGATTTGGGGCCTACTTGGAAGGACCGAAAACGTCCTCGCTGCAACGGGAGCACGTTTTGGAACAACCGGAGGCGCAGAAATGGGGCCAGCGCTGCAGCGGGAGCACCATTTCGAAGGACCGAAAAGAATCGGATTGTCATCAACGCATATGAGCACCAGGAAATGAGGCCAGCGCTGCAGCGGAAGCACGATTCGGAACGAGCGGAAGCGCGAAAATGAGGCCAGCGCTGCAGCGGGAGCACGATTCGGAACGAGCGGAAGCCCGAAATTGAAGCCGACGCTTCAGCGGGGACAACATTTTGGAAATTAGCCTGGCGAAGGACCCAACCATATACAGCTGTGAATTTCGAAGTTGTAGGTATGTCCCAGCAGTCCCACTGCAGTCCGAGGTCCCAGCTGGCCTCCACAGGCATTCGAGAAGCCCAGGGCGGGGCTAAACACCCGAGACCGCCCCAGACTGCTCGGGTGGCCTGTTTCGGACCAGGACGAGGGTAGTTCCAGAGCGTTCCAGAACGCTTTCAGGGCGTTCCGGAACGCTCTTGGAAGGCCGGGGTGCTCGATACATCTTCATCCAAAACTGTCAGATGTCAGAGATCCTAAATTTATCTCCACCCGATTTTACTCTCGTCCTGGCTTCGTGTTACTGTTGAGTCCAGCTGGGACTGCGGCCAGCCGGAGCTACCTGGATGGGGCTGCCTGCGCGCAGCCCGAGGCGTTGCCCTGCTTGCGTCCAGCCGGCCGGGGTCGGCCAGGCCCCGGGTCGCCCTCCAGCTCGAGCTACATGGCCCACAGCGCGGGCGTCACGGGCGACCAGGCGGACCAGCTGGTCAGGAGACTGCCGCCGGGCCCGCGGAGCAGCGAAGCGCTGCGTCGGAGCCGGACCCTCCTCGCGACGTGGGAGAGTCGTGGCGTGCGGTTTTTGCCGGTCTTGGGGGCCTCTTAGAGCGGTTTGTGTACCTCGGGGGGGCCCGTTGCAGCCTCTTGGAGGTCTCTTGGGAGCCTTTCGGGGCACTCTTCGGAGCGTTGGGGGCCATCTTGGGGCCATCTTGAAGGAGTTCGATAAAAGAGGAGGCGTTCAATTTTAAGGCCCCCCCAGAAGTCCCAAATGGGCCCAAGCAGCACCAATGATTCGTGCTTTCTCGCCGAGGCCATCTTTGGCGCTCCAATGGGTCGCGAAACCTTCCGTCCAGGTCCGTTGGAAGGGGGTATGGGGGAGGGGTACCCCCTCCCCAAAGGGGAAGACGGGGGTTGAGAGAGGAGACTCCCTAAACCGCTCACGCCATAAAAGGCTGATGGGATTCTGGCACAGACGTCTGGCGAGCGCGAGTGGGTGCAGCCTTCCTCCTCATACATCCCTGTTCGCCTGTCCCTGTGTCGATGCGTTTGCCCTTGCCGCTGCTGCTCCTCCCCTCGCGCTTTCCTTCGGCCGTTCGCCCTTCGTTGTTCGTTGCCACCGCTTGTCGTTTCTCGGCTTGCGCGGTCGATCACAGACTTAGCGCTCGGCGAGCATCACGCCAGCGCCATAGGATAAGCATGGGCAGGTGGGTCGTTCGGGATGTCATTTCTTGATCGAGTGGGGGCTGGAGCTGACCGTAGGGCGGGATTTGGGTGGCGTGGCCAGGCGCGTGGTCTCACACAGTAGTACACATACACACACGTATATATACATATATACATATATATATATATATATATATATATATCTGTAATATAATCAATTAGGCCAGACCCCCTCCTGGGGCGTCTTCCACCTCGATCGCATTTGGGTCACGCTCCCAGTGCCGCGCTTCCCGGCCTCCCTGGGAGCCCCCAAAATACCCAAACACAGCCCAAGACGACCCCCAAAGGCCCCCAGACCGTAAACGAAAATCCCAAGACGCTCCCAAGCAACCCAGGATTGCTTTCGGGCTGTTCTTCAGGCTCCCAGGAGGCCTCCAAGAGACTTCGAGAGAGCTCCGAGAGGCCTCCCAAGAGTGCCTGGAGAACCTCAAATCGGTAATTGTAATTGTTTTTGTTTCAGGGTTTTGGGCTTTCTCACCATTCCACCCAGTGTCCGGAATTCTCAAGATTTTCGAGAGCGCACCCTTGGTAATTTAATCTAGAACTCTCGAGCTCGCGTGCTCTATCATGTATATATATATATATATATACAAGTCCGTGCGCATGCGTCTCATCCACTCAAAGCTTGTACGCGTATCAAAACACACATTGATTATGATCCGCGTCGTCATTCTCCTCATCATTCACCGTATTCCTCTTTTTCCAACACTTTATATGTAGATTCCCTCTCCCCTCATCATCCTCCTTCTCATCCTCCTCCTCATCATCATCCTCCTCCTCCTCATCACTCTTCCTCCTCCTCCTCTCCTCTCAGTCTTCCTCCTCATCGTCCTCCCCGTCCGCCCTGATCCAACTCGTCCTTCTTCTTTTCCTTCTCCCCCACCTCTTCATCATGCTCCTCCTCCTCCTCCTCCTCCTCCTCCTCCTCCTTTTCCTTCTCCTCAAAATGGCTACGGAGGGCGCCTGCACGCAAGGGGGCGCCTGCACGCAGTCTTTTCAACAATTTTCTGGGCCTCGTGCCCAACATCCATATCTTGCTCTGTACCTAGGCCTCCCCAAAAGGGCGCCTTGCAGAGCTTCCTACACGTGCCTGCCACTTCCAGAGGGCTGGCAGGCGGCCCGCGTCTTTCTCACCTGCCAGTGCATGCGATGGAGTCTGCTCCTGGTCGAGGCATGGGCGGTGCTGGCAGAGACGCATCAACGGATCGGAGGTCCAGCTCATCCGAAGCGCGGGATACGTCTCGCAGCAATCCCCGCGAGCGTCGCAATGACCGCCGGCGCGACCGTCGCGATCGAGCTGACCGAACCGCAGCCGCTGCTGACGATCCTCGCCGCCGCCATGCCCACGAAGTACAGCCACGCCACGGCCGACATCAACAGCCTCCACCTCAGCCAGGGGCTCCGGAGCCAGGTGTCCAGGCAGACAGGCAATCCGCACAGCATCATCATTCTTCGCTTCTACCTGGTCACGGACCCCCTCACGAGCATCTTCAGCAGCGCCAGCCGGCGCCAGTACCAGGACAGGCACACGCACTCCCCCAACAGGGCCAGCCGCAGCACTTCTTCATGGGAGACAGCCCAGCGCCAGGGGGCTCTAGCTGAATGCAGGCTTTGCAGCAGCCGCCTCCTGACGCTTGGGCTGAGGCCGCGAGGGCGGCGGGACTACCGTACCCAGCCGCACCAGGCGAAGGAGGCTCGCCCCCCCCCCCTCAGCGACTCCTGGTGGAGGCGCTGGGAAGCACGGCGACGCCAACCACGACGCCATCGCCAACGCCCTCCAACACATCGTGGACCAACAGATGTCGGGCATCGCATCTGCTCGACAGCGATGGCCGGGGTCAGGCAGGAGATGCAAGGCACGCTTCAACACCTGCTTGCGCCGACGGAGCGCCGCCTAGACCTCGCAGAGACCGACATACGACAACTACAACAGGCGCAACAGCGACAAGAAAGCAATCAGCGTGACCTTCGACAGGAACTGGAACGCACCCAACGAGTCCTCAACGAAGCACCATCCAGACAACACGTCATCGAAGTCCGAGTTGGCGCCGGCAGCGTTGCCAAAGCTACTCAACTCGCAGCCGCTCTTCGCATGCGTGGCGGGGGATAGCGGCGATTCCATTGCAGCAACACCGCGGGCGCGGACACCCCCATTTTCGTGGGCCCTGACACGAGCCCCAAGCGGATCCGGAAGGAGGTCCAGCCCTAACATCTCAGTGCACGTAGTTGATGGTAGTCGTCGTTAAGGATCATCGTGGCACTGGCCGCCGCCGACCATCGTCGCCGACGCCGCCGTCGGTGAACGCAGTCATCATCGTCGCCCCGTGTGCTCAGTCGCCATCGACGTCGTTCACCATTGCAGTCGTCTGCCGTCGGCCGTTCTCGTCGTCGACGTCGTCGGTGGTTTTTGTCCTCATCGTCGGCGTCCGTGTTGTCCGTCTGCCAATGGTTCGGCGCAGTCAGTGGGGTATTTCCAGGGCGCCCGGTCGATATCTGCCGATCCAGGTGCCCATGATCATCCTAAGCATTGCGACCAGGAGCGGACCAGCACACACACACACGAGCGCCATGAGACACCGCGAACAAAGTGCCCCAGGCGCCGAGGATGTGAGGACAGCAGAAGATTAATGTGGAAGGGATGCAGGGGACAGTAGGTCTTGGTAGTATGCCAAGGAAGGGCGATGAGCGAGGCTACGTTGATGCTGCTGCAAGCGTGCGCGCCACCAGGCGTGCCATGCACATTAGGCGACACAATAATGCACAGTGCGCGCTCACACTGCACTTCGAGCAGATCGCACTGTAAAGCGGTAGACGCACAACATCAGTTCGATGGGGCTTCTGCACTGCCGATGTAATATGCTTGACGGTACTTCTCTATCGCATCCGCACAATGTTCGCGCTCGCCAGACTCATGTAGATTCGGTCGACCGCTGCCTTGACTCTCACCATTTCCTGGTGCATTTGCTCTTCTGTGACCCCATCCGACCGCGTGTGCGCTTCGGCGGCGTCCATTGCGACCTGCAACAATCGGAACAAGGTGACTCTGACCTTGAATCTCGCGCAGCCTCGGACGACTTGAGAGCGCTTGAAAGCGGCTGCGGCTGTGGCCCTTGGCTTCGGTGCTCAGCCGCGCGGCGTGGTCATCCTGATGGCCCCGGACAATGACCTAGTCCGAGTGGAGCTGCTGGGCGTCCGACGCGAGGAGTTGGAGAGGCGGGCCGCCGTTCCCCGGGCATTTGGCGACCCAGGTCTACGCCTGCGACCCCGCGGCAGGAGCTGCGCTGGCCGCCGTCAGGCGCCGCGTGAAGATGATCGACCAGCTCCCGGGCTTGGGCCAGGTCGACGCGGTCGAGGGGATTGGCTGGGTCATCGCCGAGCCCCGCCCCCCCAAGTTCGGCGAGATCGCGGAGGCGGGGATCACGAAGGGCGACGCCCAGGGCACCAGCTTCGAAACTAAGGGCGCGGCGGCGCTGAATGGCGAGGAGTTCTATGCCCAGAAGATCGCGGCCAGCGCCCTGCCCGACTTCAAGACCACGATGAAGGCTGACATGGGCGACGCCCGCACCCCTGGGGATCACCTCGACGAGGCCAGCCAGAGGAACCTGCGGCTCTCCGAGGCGGCCGCATTGATGCGCAACGCTGAGCAGGCGAATCCCCCCTTGTCCGGCGTGCGAAGGTCTCCTACCAGGCAGAGCGGGAGCGGCTCAGTGGAGTCGGCGAGGGTTCGGCGGTCAACCATGTCCACCGGGACATGCGTGAGGTGATTCGGCCAATGCGCTCGCGGGACCAAGTGGATCTCTCGACGCTGTCCTCCGCCGAGCTCATCGCGCGCTGTGCGATGCAGCCCGCGGAGCGCAGTCCGCGCCGCCCCGACTACAGCAACCTCGACATCGTGATCTCTGCGCCGGTGAATGCCGCGGGTCGCGCGCCCTCGTCCAAGTTCAACTCTTGGGCTACCGACGGGCTCAAGGAGAGGGCCGCCATCTGGAAGCAGAAGCGCCCCTACCGCGAGGCGCAGAGGCACTCGCGCCAGGGGGGCGAGGACACGACAGTCGGCAAGAAGGAGAAGAAGAATAATAATAATGATAATAATACGAAGAAGAAGAATAATAATAATAATAAGAAGAAGAAGCAGGCGAAGGGGGGCGAGGCCGGGGCCGGGGGCGGCGCCGGCGTGGACGGACGACGCCTCTCGGGGCTGCGGGGGGGCCGACGCTGGCAGCCCGGGCGTCGACAGACCCCTGCCGCGCCGACGGCGACGAGGGCTCGCCACCTCCAAGTCAGGTGGGATCAGGGCGCGAGATCGACGGCATAGCGATCCTTTCCCCTTGCCGCGTGATGCTTCCGTCCTCGGCGAAGCGCGCGGCGATGAGTGGCTTCGGCAAGTTTTTGATTCGGCTCGGGCCCTGAACCAGATGGCCGCCGCCAACGTGAATTCATGTCGCGCCCAGGGGCGCGATCTCCCACCTGAGGGTCACCTTCGGCCCGCCGCCGCTCAGCGCTGGATGCTCCAGGACGTGGCCCGGTAGGTCGAGGCGCGCGGAGAGCACCCCCGTGACCTTGCATGGGGGTCGCCCTTGTCGGAGATCCTCGACTCGAGAGACCGCTGCGGCATGGTGCCCGAGAACCTGGCCAGCTTCGATTTCGACGTGGTCAAGATTATGCAAAGGAAGGCCCACGTGCGTCCGACTCGACGGGAACTTCCCCCTGCGGCGTTTGGCCACATCAGACATTCGGCCGACTTGAGTGAGATGGGCGAGGCGCAGCTAGAGAAGGGCCAGGCCGAGGGCGCGGGTGTTTCGCCACATTTGGGCCCCGCGCTTCGGCGCTCGCGAGATTTGCGGAAGCGGCTGCATCGGCGCCTGAGCCAGCAGGGCCAGCTGACCTGGCGCCCGCGGCTGAAGGGGCGCGCGGGCATCTTCGCGGCCAGTAAGAAGGACGGGCCCCATAGACAGAGCATCATTGGGGGCTGCGCGGGCGACGCCACGAAGCAGATGCAATATATTGAAAGGAGTTGTCGTGCGGATCGCGTGCCCTTTGACGCGGGGCCTCGCGACGAGTGCAAGATGTAAGATGCTGTCGTTGGGCCTGGTGCCCTACTGGCGAGAGCGGCGGCAGCGGCGCGTTCCTCTTCGTGTTTGGCGGGCCCGCCAGGCTGCGCACGCTCTGCCGAAGAGGCGCGGGCTCCACGGCCGCGACCTGCAGCGCTGACTCGGCCGCGCGGTGAACCTGTCCCGAGGGCATGTCCGCCCTGAGCGCTTGCTGTCGCTTCGTCGAGGAGGGCCTGGAGGCGCCGAAGCGGGCGCAGCCCTCGGTCGAGTCCGCGATCCGCTGCGCCGTGAACCTGCTGTTCCTGATGGAGGTGGATTTGGGCGTTACCCACTCCCACCAGGTCTATCGCGGCGACTCCTCCACCCGCGGCTTCGCCCTCCACGCGGCGAAGGCCGAGCCCGACGAGCCGCGCAAGGCCTGGAGGTGGAGGGGGCGCTGGCGGTTCCGAGACGCCCCCGTGCCGGATGGCAAGGTGACCGATGGCCTGGGCAAAGCGCGGGGCGACGCGCCCGCCCTCTCAGCTGGGCCACAGACCTCCGTCGGCCAGGCCCTTCGAAGCCAGGCCGATGCGCGTGCCAGGCCCCGTCCAGCCGCTGCGCAGGGCCAGCGCCTGCGGGTCAGGGCCCCCCTGGACTCGGGGATCCCGCGCTTGGCCGAGAGCTGGGCGCGGCGGCGGCGCTGCCGGTTGCTCACTGCTGATAGCTGGCCGCGGCAGGAGGGGCACGTCTACCTGAAGGGTGCCCGCGTGGCCCCGATGGGCCTGCGTCGGCACTGTCGCATCGTGGAGCTGCCTGGGTCCAAGCTGCCCACCCTCGGCGACAGCCGGGTTATTGTGGGGGCCGTCGAAGGGTCGCTCCAGTGCGGGCCTGCAGTCGCTGTGCCAGCGCGCTGCGGCAGACCGCCTGGGGGGCCAGTTTGTCTGGCGCCTCCGCTACGTTGATGCGGATCGGAGTCCGATCTCCCGCCGGCGTGGCACCAAGCGAGCGGCCAAGCCCGCGCGCCTGACAGGCGAGGTCGCGGCTGCCTTGCCTCGCGCCTGCGCCCCTGGCGCTGCGCCAGGAGGCGCGCCGTGCACGGCGGCTCTGCAGTCCGACTTCGCGGGGTGCGACTCACGGCCTCCTTCCTCCTCAGAAGTCACCTCATCGGCGTCTGCGCCATCTGCTTCCTGCCCTTCAAATCAGAACGAGCCTTGTAAGTTTTTTTTTCCTGGGCTATTCGCTGGCATCGGTCGGCTAACTCGAGCTTGCAGAGAGGTCGGGCCCCCTTTGGCTTTGTCTTGGGAAACATCGGATTACATTATTGGGTTGGCCCGCGGGGGCCGTCTGCTGCGCGTTCACCTCGGGGCGCCGCGCGCAGTCTGGAGCATCGCGCAACGGGGATCAATACTCACGCACGAGCAGGAGCCAAAGAACGTCTGGGGGTGGAGCTCGCACTGCCCACGGGCATTTCATGTCCCGCGCTGTCGCGTCGAGGGTGTTACTGGAGCGTCGAGAACCCCGGGGCCTCGAGGCTGTTGAACTTCGACCCCGTCGCTCGGCTTCGTGGGCTTACCGACGTCATCGATGTTAACTTCGATATGAGTATGTTCGGCACGGCCTATCGGAAACTCGTTCGGATACTTGCGAACGTGGAGGCCCTGAGGGGTGGAGTATCGGCCTCGCGCGCCGCGCAAGCACTCGGTTATGCTGCGCGGGCGCCTCACTATTCGGGCGGGGGCTTATCCGTCATCGTTTGGCTCATGTTGGGCTGGCCTCCTCCTGGCCGCGCCCCCTTCGAGCGCGCTTGCCAAGTCGCGGGCGTCTGATCCGCGGGAGCTCCGGCATGGCCTCTTATGGGCAGCGGGCCTTCAGCCAGCGGCTGCAGGACGGGCGCCGCGCGGTCAGACCGTCGGGCCCTTCGTCGACGGCTGCCAGGCCGCCGACGTCGTCTTCCGCGAGAACCCCGAGATCCAGTTCGGCCAGGGCGAGCACCCCATGCATGCGTTGGCAAGCCCACCTGCATGCACTGTCAGACAGCCACCGCCCGGCAGCGGCTGGCCCCGCCAGGCCACCGCGCCGCGCCGGGTGGGGGCCATCCGAGTCCAGGGGCGGAACGCGCTGGCCATGTCGACGGTCGCGAGCGCAGCGCCGCGCTCCGCGCTCGAGCGGCGCGCGGCGGCGGCGCGCGAGTTTGAGGTCGACGCGGAGGCCGAGAAGCTCGACCAGCAGCCGCAGAGCCGCCTGGACGACAGCATGGCCCAGTACTTCGTAGATCTTTTGGACGGCGGCATCGGTGTCTGGGAGGGCAGGAACACACTCTACGGGCACAGGCTCTTGCGGCTCAAGACGACCGGGAAGGCGGGCCTCCCCAGTGCGCTGGCCTCCCTGAAAGGGGCTGGACGAAGCGCTCTTCTGGCCGCGCGCGGCTGCCCCTGCCCGACATGCGACGTCGCGCGGGGCCTCGCGGAGCGCGACCTGCCCTTGCTGGGCGCGGCGGTGGCTATCCAGACGGACGCGCACCTCCGGCCCTCCAAGGTGGTCTTCCCGCGGCAGGGCCAGATCCTGCCGCCCGCGTCGGCCGCGAAGCTCGGCGCGCACTTCGGCGTCGTCACCCCGCCCTCCGAGTGGCGCGAGATGACGCAGACTGGCGGCCAGGACGACATCATGCCGATCGGTGATGTGCCCCGCCCCTGGCCGGCGAATGCGCTGAAGCCCTTCCGCGAGCCCGAGGCGGCCGGCTCCCCGGCGCTCCTCGCTTTCTCCCTGGCGGCGTTCGAGCGGGAGGTCGGGTGCAGCGCCGATCGCTTCGGCCGCGCTGCCCTGGAGGTGTGCCCCCACGTTTTCAGGCGCCCAGGCGCCTCCAACGACGAGGCTCAGAGGAGGGGGGCATTGAAAGCGGATGGGCATCGTCAGCCTGCGTGGCCCGCTACGAGAAGGGCGCCTTGCTCCCCCGGCAGCTTCGCAAGATGCCGATCGCAAAGCAGATACTGGCGGCTCGCAGAGGCTGCATTTTGGAACCCACTGCCCCTCCATTCTGAGGCAATTGCATAGGACGGGGATACAGAGGACAGAGTTTTTACACAGTTTGGGGGGATGAGTGAATTCAGTAGGGGTCGGGCTTGAAGTGCCCCAAAGAAAGCGCGCGCCCGAATCGCAAGCGGATGTTTATATGCTGACCGAGGACAGTTTGCTTCCCGTCGTCGCCCTCGCCCTCGCTCCGCCACCCTCCTTTCTCCCCCCCCGGATGGTGTCGAAAGCGTCCGCGGCTCGGGCGGGAGAGCGCCCCTTTTCCACCCCCCCATTATTCCTAGTTCCTTTTCGCCTCCCTGCTCACCGTCCGTCGCTTTACCTCGTCTTCCCTCCTTGCTCGAAGAAGGGAAGTGAAGTCCCTGGCGCCGCGTGCCCGCATCAGCCGCATGCCGTCGATGTCCGAGCACAGCGGCGTAACCAAACAGAAGGGGGTTGCCAGCGCAAGCGCTCGGGGCGCAATCCAAGCGCGGGCGGCGTGGCCGCCGAGCACAGTCGCATCGCCAACATGTAAATGCATAGGCGCTCGCGGCGAGGTCCGCCCCCGCGCCGGCGCAGCGGTCTGCGCGACGACGCGTGGAGCTTTGACTGTTAGGAGGTCCATGTGACACCTCTCGTCTTCTCGGACTGCTGCGCGGTCTTCTTTTGGCTCCTTCGGGGCCCTTTAGGGACGTCTTCGGGCCGTTGGGCGCCGCTTTGGCGCTGCGTTTCACCGTGGCCGCCCTGGGCCAGAGAAGCGCGCGTTTGCAGCTCCCTCGGGGGCGCGCTGGGCCGGGGATGCGCGCATTTGCATTCCCCCCTAGCCGGGCATGTCGACCTCGGTTCTGGGTTGGCAAAGTTGGGGTTCCCTCGAGGTGGCGAGCGCTTACGTCTTCGAAATGCACAGACCAAGGTGTGATATTTGTGCGCAGCTGGTGTCTTCAACTGCGTATTTTCGTGTGTGGGTCTGCTGATTGCACAGATCGCGGTGTGATCTGTGCACGCA